TAGGGTTTTTCTTGGTTTTCTTTTTCTAGAAGCTTGAGGTTCAGCACTAGATGGTTTATTTGAGCTCAGTCTGTTTTCCTAATATAAGTAATCACTGCTATGAATTTCCATCCTGTCTGCTTTCATTATGTCCCATAAATTATGTTATGTTGTATTGGGATTATCATTTAATTTTTGAAACTGTCTAATTTCTTCTTTAATTTCCTCTGAGACCCATTGGTTGTTTAGAAGTGTGTTGTTCATTTTCCATATGTTTATGAAATTCTTGTGGTTTATTTTGTTATTGATCTCCAATTTCATTGTACTATGATCTGATAATATACAGGGGATAACTTCAATTCCTTTGCACTTACTTAAACATGTTCTATGAGCAAGTATGTGGTTTATTTAGGAGAACAACCCATATATAGCTGAAGAGAATGTGCATTCTAATTTTGTGCAGTAGAATACTTTGTTTATCTGTTGAGTCCATTTGTTTAAGAGTTTCTAGTTCTAATATTTTGTTGTTGATTTTTTTTTGTCCAGTTGATCTATCTATTTGTTACAGTGGCATATTGAAGTCTCCCACTACTATTGTATTAGTGCTTATTTGATTTTTCATCCCTGTTAATATTTATTTTATATAGTTGGGTGCACTAGTATTTGGTGCACATATATTTATGATTGTTATCTCTTCCTTTTGGATTGCTCCCTTTACAAGGATATAGTGGCCTTCTTTTTCTCTCTTAATTAGTTTTCATTTGAAATCCACTTGATCAGCGAAGAGGATAGCTACACCTCCTTTTTTTTCAGGTTCCTGTTGCATTGAGTATTATTTTCCATCCTTTACCTTTCAGTCTGTTAGTTTCTTTTTGAATTAAATATGTTTCTTGTATATGACATATTGTTGGATTTTGATTCTTGATCCATTCTGCCAGTATATTTCTTTTGATTGGTAAATTGAGACCATTAATATTTATGGTTATAACTGATATGTATTGACTTATCCTTATCATGACCTTTTCTTTGTTGTTGGATTCTTCCCTTTGCATTTAATATGTTATGTTGCTTGATGAGCTCATTCTTCTGGGCTTTTTGGGGTTTTGACCTTCATTATATTTTCCTAGGACATTACACTTTTTTGGAGTGCTGGTTTGGTATTCATGAAGTTCCTCAGGTGCTCTTTGTTGTGAAAGTATTTTATTTTTCCATCAATTTTGAAAGGTAATTTTGCAGGATATATCAATGTTGGTTGGAGGCTGTTTTCTTTTAGAATTTGAAATACTTCAGTCTAAGTTCTTCTTGACTTTAGGATTTTTCTTGAGAACTCTGTTGTGATTCTGATCACATGTGGTTCATTTCTTTTCTCTAACTGCTTGTCATATTTTGTTCTTCTGTTGGGTTTTTGGAATCTTAACTGTTGTATGCCAAGGTGTAGATTTTTTTTGATCACTGCTAGTTGGAATCCTATATGCCTCACTTATCTGTATATCAAATTCTTTCCCCTGCTTGGGAAGTCTTCTGCCATTACTACTGTGAACAGTATATGTTATTTGCACGCTCTCCTGTTTCTTCACTGACTCTGATCAGTCTTATGTTATTCTTCTTTGTGTCATCTAGCAGCTGCTAGGTTGATTTCTTGTTGTCCCTTACTATTTTTAAGAAATCTTTCTTTTCTTGGTCACTAATTGCAATCATATCTTCCTATATGATATTCTGTCCTCACATTGGCTCATTCTGCTGTGTATACTTCCAATGAAGTTTTTAATCTCCTGGCTATCTGTTTACATCTTTTTTATGGATTTCATTTGTTTCCTATGCTAGGATTCCATCATGTTCCTTAGCTCCTCTGTTTTTTTAATTGGTGTCTGCTCATGTCTTTCCCTATAGACACAATCTCTGTTGTTATCTGAGAAATTATGTCTGATTTTATTATTTCCAGATCCTATTTCATTGCCATTTCAGGGAGTCCAGGTGCTTGAGTTTCAGATTGTTCCCTCTCATTGCTTTTTGGGGATGCCTTTGGTGATCTGAAAGTTTGTTTTGAGTCTTGTTTAGGTGTCTTCCTATTTCAACTGATGCTGTCTTCTCTGTCTTCTTTGAGGTGACTCAATTCTCAACAAGCCTCAGAGAGCCCTTTTCTCTACTGTTAACCATGGTGCCAATTCCAGTGGTATCTGGGCCAGCTTTGGCTGGGGTATGCCTGTCTGCATACCAGACAGGTGGATCTTTGAGTGGGGTCTGTGCACCCGAGCCAATGGTGTCTGGGTGGGCTTTTGGCTGGGGCTGTGTGCCCAAGGTGGCAGTGTCTGGGAGGGCCCTTGGCTGGGGCCTGCATGCCTACACCACTGTTGTGTGGGTGGGCTTCTTGCTTTGGCCTGTGCACCCTTAGTATCTGGGCAGACCTCTGTCTGAGGCCTGTGCACCCCTGCTGCTGTTGTCCAGGCAGGCTTTTGGCTGGGGTCTCACAGTAATTCTTATAGTGACCGGGCAGTAGGGAATACCAAGTAGAAGTTACACAAACTAATTTTTTAGGATAGTGAATGAATAAAAGAACAAATTGATATAATAATTATATAGTAAAGATACTTAAGAAATTTGATTTTCAAATTAATAAAGTTTTGGACTGAAAATACAGTTTCTGTAAAATGGAGTTTCACAGTCATAAAAAATCAAATAAGCTTTTTAGAGTCTGTGTATGAAACAATAGAAAATAAAACTTGGTGGCAACCAGTGTATACAGTGTTCTCTGTCCTGAATCTCCCACTTCAGCTCTTTTGGTGCAGTTTCTATGTTGCTTCTTCCTAAGTCACATGCTTCTCCTGGAGGTTCCTGTGTATAGTGCCCATATTTCAGGGCAAGGACTGGTCAATCTGTGTGATCACACAGTGTTATGGGGTTAGGGCACAGTTAGAAAAGTATTTTAAAATTCTTGAAATGCAAGTATCCTAAAAGCTGAAATGTGTAAATTAAGTAAAAATGGGGAGTTATGACTAACAGACTTCAGAAGACCTGAGTTGAAGCTGGTGTCAGGAGACACAAAATTCAGAGATTCAGACAATCCTCTCATCTCCACTTGGGAGTCAAGAATGGAAAGTGGTGAGAGAGAACTTTCAGAGCTAAGGCCTTAGAATTCTATTATATATGTTGAATGTTGTGAGAAGTTGGATAAGATAGATAATGGAAGACCCATGATTAAATTTGACAGGAGAGAAGTGTTTGGAGAGGTGGAAGCCAAAGCCTGAATTCCATGGATTGAAGAGGGAACAAGAGATGGAAAATGAGCTGAGGGTGTGGGAGCACACCTGAGGCTGTAGGATTTTCAAGTTTGCTTTCCCTGGGAAATTTAGAAAGACTCTGTTGCAAGTGAAGGGACTGGGCATGTGGCCCAGTATTAGAGTGTCCCTGGATTTTATTCCCAATAACATACACAGATGGGAACAAGGAGGTTATAGTTGCACATAACCCTTTACTCCTCCCTTCTCTCCTTCTTTTCTTTCTTCTTTCTCTAAAATGTTAAATAAAGTATTATTATTTTGGGGAATGACTGAATAAAAGATGAAGAAGAAATTGACGCAGAAGGTAGAGAGTGCCTACAGGAGCAAAATTCCTCCATCATTCATGATAGGGGTATGGGATCTACTGTAGAAGTGAAAGGTTGGCCTTTGTAATGAGGGAGGCAGAAAGGCTGGTAGATTTTGTGATGCCAAAGTAAAGAAGTATATCAGTTAGAATGCCAAAACAGAAAGACCAAATTATTAATGACTTGATGAGAGAGAAGATTATTTCTTCTTTAAGGAACTGTTCAGGTAGGCAGTCTAGGGCTGACTCAGTGGCTCCAAAATAAATTATCCAGGCTCTGTCTATCTTATTGCTGTGTTAACCTTAACATGCAGCTTACACATTGTCTAAAGGTTGCTGCTCTGTCTTTTGATATCATGTCTGAATACCAGAAAGAGGAAAGGGAAACTGGAAGGGAAAGCACATATCTTCTCTCTCTAGGAACAACTTTGAGATTGTCCCTATTCTGTTCACATCTCACTGACTAGAATTTATTCACATCATCACTCCTAGCTGTAGAGGAGGCTTGGAAATTTAGTGCTTGGCTGTGTGACCATGTGTCCAGCTAATAACAGTATCCTTCTTGTAAGAGAAGTTGAGAATGGGTACTAGGGAATAGGTTGGAGCCTCTGCTACAAGGATGTAGTAGTTCTTCTCTGGCTACTTCTAATTCCTCATTGAGGAAGTGAGTTCATCTGTCAAGTGTAGTAAAGGATGTGATTTTGGGGGTTTCAGGACAAAGGAGAAGCAGCAGAATAGTCATCTTAAAAAGTGAGTTAAGCAGCAGAATTGCCAGGCAGTGTGGAGGGACAAATTGAATTTTGTAAACAAAGGAAACAGATAACAGATCATTCTGACTCCTCCTTGAAACTTTACAGGCTCAGAAAATAGTCAGAGTTTGAAGACCCTCTGACATAAGAGTGATTAGGTATGTGTTTTAGTGGACCAAGATCTCCTAATAAGTACACTCAATTCTTGATTCAGGGGATAGTATGTTTGTTTTCCTCATTTCCCAATCTGTAAATGGGCAGCTTCTGAAGGGATCAGTGTTGCTGTTCACCTCTATGAGCTGACAGCTTTCCTCTGTCTGACTCCACAACCTGGGCTGGAGTAGTGGTGTGACATGTAGCTGTCATGTGTACACAGATGGCCACTTGTCTCTTAAGTGAAGATGTTCCATTATTTCCTCAGGAGAGATAGCTAAAGTGGAACATTGGGAAGTGTTTTCATTTTTCCTGTCACAAAGAATTGGTGATTTGGTAGTCATAGGAGTTTGTAATAAATAACCCACATTGATTTCTCTGTTCCAGGACGGTCTTGCTTCCCTTCCTCCCAGAACCCTGACACTTGCCCCAAGGGACAGTGTTAGAAAATCATTAACAAAACAGCACAGACCCCTTCTTCTGTGGATATAAATCTGGGTAGTTTGAGGTCAGTCTGAGGCAAGGGATCTAGGACTTTTTAGCTAGAGAACTTTGGGACAGAGACATTTGTGAATCCAGATCCTAGTAGCACAGGAAGCAGGGAGTGACCATGGAGAAGTTGTTGTGGTGTTTCTTGGTCTTGATCAGCCTCTCTGATGTTTTTGGCCAGAAAGGTAGGGGTTATCCCAAGCTGTGCTAGAGATTTGATCTGAGGGATAGGGGTGGGACTTAAGATTATATAAATTGAATTCAGAGGAGTATCTAGCATGGTGAGAGAGAGAGAGAGAGAGAGAGAGAGAGAGAGAGAGAGAGTGTGTGTGTGTGTGTGTGTGTGTGTAATCAGGGAAGGGGTCGATTGCTTTCTTGATGCCAACCTATTTTTAAATGAGGCACAGATCTTTGTGATCTGAGAAACTTCTCATCTCTAATTGGTTTTCTGATGCACAGACATGTCTAAGAAGACTTTTGTGTTTCCTAAAGAGTCAGATAACTCCTATGTATCCCTGAAAGCACAGTTGAAGAAGCCACTGAATGCCTTCACTGTGTGCCTCCGTTTCTACACTGATCTGTTCACAAGTCGTGGGTACAGCATTTTCTCTTATGCCACCAAGAAGCACTCGAATGAGATCCTCATATTTTGGTCTAAAAATAGAGGATATATTCTTTTTTTTTTATTGAGTTTATTGGTACATTTAGGGATACAGTACAGTTACATTCATTGTTGGGATCATGTACCTTTACATGGCAAGTCTTGATTCTCATTTTTTTCCCCTTACCTCTGCCCTCCCTTCACCCCCTCCTCCCCTCCCCATCTACAAACACTTTATTTTCATCTTTTCATTCTCTCACATTTTTTTTTCTTTTCCCTTTTTGTTCTTCCCCTACGTATCACACCTTCCCTACACCTTTAGCTCCTTTCCTCCCATTTCTAAATGTCAGTAATCTTATTAGAATCTTATGCATTGTTGCAGAATATTCACACCAGGGAAACTATTTGGTATTTACACATGTGGGACTTATTTATTTCACTTAGGAGTATATCTTCAATATGTATCCATTTTCCTATGAATGAATCTATTCTCTCGCTCTTTATGGCTGAGTAATATTCCATTTTATAGAAAAACCACATCTTCTTTATCCAGTTTCCAACGGATGGGCAAATAGGTTGTTTCCAAGATTTAGCTATTACAAACTGTGCCGCTATAAACATGGGTGCACATTCTTCTCTGTGATATGATTCTTTTAGTTCTCTTGGAAAGATACCCAACAGAGGGATGGCTGGGTCAAATGGAACCTCCAGTCCAAGCTCTTTGAGGTATCTCCATATTGATTTCCATAGTAGTTGCACTAGTCTGCACTCCCACCAACAATGGAGGAGGGTTCCTTTCTCCCCACAACCCCGCCAACATTTGTTATTGTGTGATTTCTTGATAGCAGCCATTCTTTGTGGGGTGAGGTGGAATCTCAGTGTTGTTTTCATCTGCATCTCTCGAATGACCAGTGATGTGGAACATTTTTTCATATATTTTCTTGCTGCTTTCACTTCTTTGTATGAGAAATGTCTGTTCATTTCGGATGCCCATTTTTGGATCGGGTCTTTATATTTGGGGGGACTGATTGTTTTGAGTTCTTTATATATCCTTGATAATAGTCCTTTGTCTGAGGTACAGCTGGTAAAAATTTTTGCCCTAATTGTAGATTGTCTCTTAGTTCTGCTAATGGTTTCTTTTGAAGTACAGAAGCTTTTTAGTAAGATGAGATCCCAGTTGTTGATTCTTTCTGCTAGTTCCCGTGCTACTGAGGATTTGTTCATAAAGTCTTTTCCTATACCAATGTCTTCCAGAGTTCTACCTAACTTGCTTTCCAGCAAGTTTAATGTTTCTGTTTTAATATTTAGATCTTTAATCCATTTGGCTTTTAATTTAGTGCATGGCGAAAGATAAGGGTCTAATTTTAATCTGTGACAGGTTGATATCCAGTTTTTCCAACACCATTTATTAAAGAGGCTATCTTTCCTCCACTGAGGATGGTGAGCTCCTTTGTCGAAGATGAGGTAGCTGAGTACATCTGCATTTGTTTTTGTGTCTTCCAGTCTGTTCCATTGATCCTCAGGCCTATTTCTTTGCCAGTACCATGCTGATTTTATCACAGTGGCTTTGTAGTATAGTTTCAAATTGGGAATTGTTACACCTGGTGCCATGTGACTGTTGCCTATAATGGCTTTTGCTATTCTAGGTCTCTTGTGGTTCCAAATGAATTTTTGGATTCTTTTTTCTAGTTCTGTGAAATATAGTGTTGGAATTTCAATTGGCATTGCATTGAATGTATATAGCAGTTTCGGTAGCATGGCCATTTTCACTATGTTGATTCTTCCTACCCAGGAGCAGGGGATATCTTTCCATTTTTTTATATCCTCTTCGATTTCTTTTTTCAGAGTGCTGTAGTTTTCAGTGTAGAGATCTTTTGTTTCTTTTGTTAGATTGATTCCTAGATACTTCATTTTTTTGGATGCTATTGTAAAAGGAATTTTTTCCCTTATTTCTCTTTCTGTCTGTCTGTTATTTGTGTATAGAAAGGCTATTGATTTTTGGGTATTCACCTTGTATCCAGATACTCTACTGAATCTGTCAATTAAGTCTAGAAGTTTTTTGGGGAGGTTTTTGGATCTTCAATGTAGAGTATCATATCATCAGCAAATAATGATAGTTTAACTTCTTCCTTTCCTATCTTTATTGCTTTTATTTCTTTCTCTTGTCTAATTGCTGTGGCTAATGTTTCCAGAACTATATTGAAGAGAAGTGGCGATAGTGGGCATCCTTGTCTTGTTCCTGATTTTAACATGAAGGTTTTTAGTTTTTGGCCATTCAATATGATGTTGGCTGATGGTTTTTCATAAATAGCCTTTATTAAATTGAGGTATAGACCATCTATTCCAATTTTTTGCAGGGTTTTTATCATGAATGGGTGTTGAATTTTATCAAATGCTTTTTCTGCATCTATTGAGAGGATCATATGGTTTTTGTCCTTGACTTTGTTAATATAATGTATTACATTCACTGACTTTCGTATGTTGAACCACCCTTGCATCTCTGGAATAAATCCGACTTGGTCATGATGGATGATCTTCTTAATAATCGAGAGGATATATTCTTGAACTGGGTGGACCTGAAGTACTATTCAAGGCTCCTGAAATTCCCACAGCTCCAGTACACATCTGTGCCAGCTGGGAGTCCGTCTCGGGAATCATAGAGTTGTGGGTAGATGGGAAGCCCCAGGTGAGGAAAAGTCTGCAGAAGGGCCACTCTGTGGGGACAGGAGCCATCATCATCCTTGGGCAGGATCAGGATTCATTTGGTGGGAGCTTTGATGCAAACCAGTCTTTTGTGGGAGACATTGGAGATGTGAATATGTGGGACTTTGTTCTGTCACCTGAGGAGATCAGTGCAGTGTATGCTGGTGGGACATTCAGTCCTAATGTTCTAGATTGGCGGTCACTGACATCTGAAACACATGGTGAAGTCTTCATCAGGCCCCATCTGTGGGCTTGAGGCTCTTCTGTGGATCCTCAAGGTGCCTCCTGCAGATTATATCTCCTGGGCTCCAGATCTCTGGCTATGGACTTTCTCCCTATGTACCTCATAGGTTTACTCTGCAAGCAGAACCTTTTACATCCCTTCCTTAGATGGAATTCATCTGTCTGGCTTGGGAGCCTGTGAAATACCTTAAGAAATTTTGTCTAGACAGATCAGAATTGCAGATGTTCTGTTTATATATTTACTTTTTTAATTAAAATAATTTTAGGGATAATCTCTTACCCTCATATAGATGAGAACTGGTACCCAGACAAAAGGACATTTTTGAAAAGTCACATTGCAAGTATGTCTCTGAGATGGGAAATGTATGCTGGTACTTATATCTAATTTCCTACACAAAAAGTAGGAGAGATGTACCTGCAATCATACAATTGTTCTGCATCAGAGTTAGGCCACTGGATGCAGTCTTGATTCAGAGTTCAGAGTACCTATCACTGTATCGTGAGGCCCAAGTCTTCTCAAGTGGGAAACTCAGAAATGCTGTTGCTTTTCCTCCACTTTCTCTAAGTGCTATAGAAAGACAATCAAAGTAGCCCTATCAGAAAGCCTATCTTTTTATTTTTCCTGGACAAAACAGGCATATAGATATTGTTAACTTTAGCTTACTGCCAAGGTGTTGTATAACAGTAGTTTTATTTGTCTACAGTGCTTTCTTAATTGTATGGTTCTTCTGGGAAACTCTTTCCCCATTTCATGAATGGGACTGTTCCTTCTCCACCTCCACATTCCCAACTTTTCCAGGCTGTAAGAAAGGACATGTGACCTAAGTATCCTACCATAGGTCCATCTCCCCACCTCCCTCTGGGGATTGTTTTTGGTGGTTACATATTCCAAGCTGGACAAATTAAAGTCTTCCTAAGGATTGAGCCATGGACTTTGTGAGGGACCATCATCTTTCTGTTGGAATTCCAAACTGAGCAGGTGTAAGCCTGGAACCACCTGCAGCCATCTTGCTTGTCACAAGGAAAAAGATGTTGAGGAAAGAAGCCACTCCGAGCTTTGAAGAGCTGAGAGGTCAACAGAGAGTGAGTCATGGACCCTTGACTACCTTGAGTCTCTGAATCAACTTTATCTGGAAAAAAAATTGACACCTGGATTTCTCAAGTCCATGAACCAATAAAACCCTGTTTACTTGAGTGAGTTTCAACTGTTTTCTGATGGTTGCATTGGAAGTTGTCACAATTTCTCTAATTACCCTCTGAAATCAAGCCCCTGTGAGTTCAGACTGACTATTACTGTCCAGCAAGAACATATCCACAGCACTGTTACCTTTCCTAGAGTCTCCTGAAGAGGTTCTTTCTGATAAGCACAGCACCTCTTTTGTGAGATAGCTGGTCATGCCTCTGGGGTCATGTGTGGAGGATTTATAGTCTCATTCCATCAATATTACAGTTTGAGGAACAAAAGTGAAAGATCATTGAGATCCACAAATCTGCTGTCAGGTTCAATGCTGGAATGAATTCGCTTTGTCTGCTTGGCTCCCTTGCAGTAACAGATCCCTCAAGGATAATGGCTGCTGGTGTCCTCCAGAGACATCCTTTACTGTGGTCTTTCAGAAATAAGTGAACAATTGAAGTTACTCTGTAGAGGCTACATCCACGAATGAAATATAGTGCTCTCTGCACATCAAGTCATTACTTTAGGAAAGGGATTGGTAGAATAGTTAAACACAGGAGTTCTGGATTAGACTGCCCAGGTCCAAATTCTGACAACAGTGCTGTGACCTTATGTAACATAACATCTATGTCTAAGTTTTCTCATCTTTAAAGTGTGAAAAATAACAGCAATCTGAAAGAATCAAATGAGACCATGCATGTATAGCACTTAGTACAGTGATTCCTACATAGTCATCTCCTATTATAACTCTATTATGCTATTTTGTATTATATGTCTGAACATTATATATCACAAAGGTACAACCAGGTAGAATTTGTCTGAGATGGCAACAACCAAAGGGTCTGATTGGCTAAGAATTAAGTAAATATTAGGAGGATGAACAGAAAATCTTTGAAGTAGTTTATTTATGAATATCAATTTCCCTAATTGACTTGTGATAACTAGAAGCACAGAAGATAAGGAGAAACATTCTTAGGCAAAAATGTGAGTGCAGATATTCTCTACTGTCCAATTAGGGCAGATCCATATACCCTGACATTCAGCTAAGCATAAGAGGGTTGACACTATTTTCTAGTTAAAGAATCTAGTCAGGAGATATATCTTAATTATCGAAGACCACTCCAACTCCCTAAGGATATGGGCTGAGCCAATATTTTTTTCAGAATTCAATTATGGTACCTTGTTACCCATACTCTAGTGGACAGCCTCTGGCTCTAATAATTTTAGCCAGGAAGATTTTAACAGCTGGTATTTGCATCCAGCGAACACTAGAAAATCTTCATAAAGCATTCCTAGAAAGTTTACATTTAAGCAATTTAGCTTACTGGTACATACTTCAATGCAATCTTGTTGGAAAATGCATCCCTAGGTAACTGGTAAATTGTCATTCTGTATAGAGTTGTTAGATGTAATCTAATTAAGTGCTAGGTGACATCTGCCATAGCGATGATTTTCATTTGGGCATGTCACTACTAAACCTTTGATTTTTTTTTTTTTGGTAAATGGAGAGTAAGATCAGTCCTCCATTGAGGTCACATCTAGCTGATATTGATAAAGTTATGTCATCAGCATTGGTTTTCCCAGGGGTCATGCATTTAGTTTGCTCAGAAGTAAAATCAGTCATTAAGGCAGAAGTTAAAAAGACTGAGGGCCAAATGATGTATAAAACCTAGTATAAAAATGAAAAGGGGGAAATAGCCCAGTGCCTGAGGATGTACAGTAGTGAGGAAATACAGGAGACAGACCAATCTATGGATCTGAGATTCTGCAGCTTGTTACCTGTTAGAACCCAGTCCAAATATAAACACTTTAGCAGGAGATGAAGCATGAGATGGTGATGTACAAATCAGGAATGTAAATCAAGTAACCACTTGGTGCTTCTGAGACTGAGCTGCATTAAGTGAGGTCAATGGTTTGCTGGAGCCACTGCTTGTCACCTATAGGAGTCAGCAACAACCCCGCGAGCTCGCCCACCCCAGGGGCACTTGGGCCACTTCCAGACAGGTGAAAAAATTCTTAAATTATTAATCAGGGAAGACACCTCGATATTCTCCAGTAAGAGGTGGTCATGAAGTAGTAGATATGGTTACCAAGCTGGGCTTCAGGTAGGGTCAGATGAGTAGATGGGGTGCCATCTTTATGTTGATACCTGGTCTATCTTGGGTTTGAAGGAGAGATTCAGGGCCACCTCACATGTGCACTTACAGCGTCACCTGGCAAAGTGAATAGAAATATTAGCTCTGTGAATTTCTCCCATACTTTTATGAAGTTTGATGTGTACTAGGAAGCAAAGATTGACAAAGAAAGCAAGTGAACCAGATCATGAAACAACAGTAACAACAATGCAACACCCCAATCCAGTTTCCAAATATAGATTTCTGATCCACAGAAACTCTGAGAAAAAAGAAATGGAAATGTTGCTTTTATTTTTAACTGCGTTATTCTGAGATAATTATCCTCTTGTCTCAGATGAGCTGTGCCACCTGCCCAGATTCCTTCCCTTCAGTTCCCTGTCTCTAAATTATCTGTACACCTTTTCATTCCTCCAGTAACTGAAAGTGGGTTAAGTGAGTGGTTAATCTTTTCCTTCAGGAGGTGCAGACTCTTAGTTCAATCCCTTAGAAGGCCCGACCCAGAGATACATTGTGATCTGCTTATACAGCCACCATTATCACTGGGGTGTTGATCATGAGTAGAGATTCATGGACTCCAGAACTACTAGATCAGATAGAACCCAGGAATATGTGGGATCACAAGCTCTCATGCCCAATGTACTTGTTAGAGCTATCACTTTAGAACATCTCTGGTAGCTTAGATGTCTTGTCTGAGGGACATGCCTGGTTCCCAATAAGCTTGAAGGCTGTTACCATCTTTAAAGAAGGATTTAGTGCAACTAGACACAGAGTGTCTGGTGCATTCTCTGCAGATTCACTCAGTGGGGCCCATCTCCCCCACATCCTTTCATACATACAGATAAATGACCTCATCACATTATTTTGATATTACTGTGATATCGTCATTGTTTGGATTTGAATTAGGGAAGTATGACAAAACTGTGTTTCAGCCCTGGAGTTTAGAGTTGTAGCTGCTCAAGGATTAAATAAACTGACAGCTCTGTATTTAACAAGTTATTTATTCAAGAAAGCCACACTGTGATAACAAACATCCTGCTTGCTTTAGTGTGTTTTTCTTCTCCCCAGAATTGTTGATTTGGATCTGTGCAGTTTGGGGTGTTTGTCTTAGCTACTGGGGCTCTAAATCAGGGAGAAACAAAAGCGCCGTGATATCTAAAGAAGCTGAGAACCTTAGGAATTTTTATTGGAGCATCATAAGCCCCTAAAGGAAGGGAAGAGAAGACTTTTCTGTAACCTATTTGAGGGAAGGGTATGGTTGTATTGTAAGCTGATTTATCAAACCCCATTCTCTGTGAAGGGGCGTAAGCAGTACGGAGCTGTGTTAGCTGTTTGCTGGACCTAAGGGTGGATTATGAACTGGTTCACATGGAAGGTCTCTCAATTTCTCTTCTCTCTCTCCTTCCTTTCTACCTTCTTCTCTTTCATTTTTAAGATTTATTCAGAATATCCATTTTGAAGATAGCGCTAGTAACATAGTGGGAACCATGAAATCTAAAATTTCCCATGTGCACCCATCAGCTTGGTTGCTGTATTCATTTGACTCCTCTGTGGAGCACAGATGTTAACAAGAAGCAATTTTGATTTTGGGAAAACATCACTTATCAGATTAAATATTTCACCTACCTGTTTAGATTATGCATGCATCTTTTATTGGGGAAAATGGTTAGAAGGAGAGGACAAAAGCTTTTTAAAGTCATTATGTTTGGCTAGTTTTCTAATTTTAAAATCAGATGCAAGAAATTTGGGAAAGGATACTTAAAAAGGATACTTTAAATGTAATGAACATACATCATTTAGAAACAAACACATTCTGGAAATGTCCTACCATTC